ATGTGTATACTTTATACATATGTACATATTCCCTGGGCTATCCCATAGGACCCAGGCCTGGGTCTTATGGGATAGCCCAGGGCTTGAGCCGTTGAGGCTGTTGAAAAAAGAAAAGAAAAAGACCTGGGGCTCCCAGCCCCGAAAGATTGTACAGTCTTGGGGCCGGGAGGGGTTCCTCCCGGCCTTGAGATTGTACATGGCTCAAGGCCGAGAGGAATCCCTCTCGGCCTTGGAAATTTGTACCGACAAGAGGGTTTACAACCCATCTCGTTGGGAGGAATCCCTCCCGACGAGATGGGCTTAAGACCAGCTCATTGGGAGGGTTTCCTCCCGATGAGCTGGACTATGGGCCATCAGGGTTCAAACAAAGTGAATCCCTGTAGGACCCAGGCCTGGGTCCTACAGGGATCTTCAAGGCCATCGGCCAAGGTTTGAACCTTGGCCGATGGCCGTCAGGGTTCAAACCTTGAACCCATGTCGGTTCAAGGTTTGAACCGGTCAGACCATCTCTCCATAGGACCCATCCCTGGGTCCTATGGGATATGCCTTGACCTAAACCCATAGGAATATGGGTTTAGGTCGAGGCATATGGAATTGCTGGCTGCACGCCTGCCTGCAAGCGAGGCAACCTCGCTTAACGGCTGGCGTGCAGCATTGCACGCCAATCGAAATTGGTGTGCGGACCCGCACGCCAACCTGCTGGGGGAATGCCCGCGCAGAGGGTTGGAGTGCGGACCTGCACTCCAATTTCAATTGGAGTGCGGTCCCACACTCCCTTCAGAGAAGGGAGTGTTGGAGTGTGTGTGCGAAGGGGGGTGGAGTGTGATTATCACTCCCCAAGTCCAACTCCCCAAAATTGGGGGCAAATACTAGTTACAATATACATCATTTACTGCATTCAGGAATCCACCACATGCCATTCATTCTCACATGCTACCAATATTGATTTTAATGACACATTTAAAATTTTGGACCTCAGTTCAACTTCAAGCTAATATATGGATTAAATTCTCTATTTTTAAATATTGCCTTATAATGATCCAAGTGATATTTGTCTATTCTAGTATGCTTTTGAGAATGAAGCATTCATATTCTTTCCAACATACAGGTAGGGAGAAAAACCTAGGGATTTCAAAAATTTCAGTTTCAGGACATTATGTCTGGTCTTGATCCAAGAGATTTGCAAATTATTTTTCCCAATTGTTGTAATGGATATGTGGATAGTAATTCTGATTCATATGCATGACACATGAATCGAGACTATGTAGAGAATCTAGGGAGTTTGCTGTTATACTTTTGCGAAATGGATCACCAAAGAACTCCCAACTGTTCAGAAGGCGGTCTTTTTTGGACACTAGTCATTTCATGTCCAGGCATTGCTTTTACGAGGCCCATGACCTGTTTGAAGATGAGCCAGCCGGCTTGCTGGGATTTAATAATTGTGACTCCGCTCACGACCAACCTTGTTCGAAATGTGGTTGATCATTGCATTATGACTCTCAGACTCTAACATACAATCAGTATAGTTCTCATTATTGCTCTGGCCATATCTTCAAACTATTTGATCTGAGGTTTCATCGGCAGAGTAACTGCTGCAGCGAGATCGGCCTCTATTTACAGCCAAGTCAACAACAATAGCTGACCTCGCAGCCTTGTTTATCCCTCTGTGAGATCTGTGAGAGAAAGGTACAGATGATGAATGCAAAGTTATATACCTCTCTCTAGCCAAAAATTAAAAGCTTATGGTTGCAGTTGATGGACATAAAAGGATGGCAAGTTTCCCTTCGAAGGCATTTATCTATACACTGGGACCAAGATCCAATTTCTACCCAAAGAACTCTGTACAATACTTCCCAAAATGACTCGAATCCGACTGACCTTGATCTTAGGCTTGGTTCTTTGCCACTCAAAATTGACAATCACTATGACTAATGAAGCGACTTCATCATTAATTCATTCTCCGGCTCATGACATGGATCTCAAGATGTTCGAAAACCTTGATGACATAGCTGATTGCAATCTATTAGTCCCTTCAAACAAGCCACGTCTTTCGGATGAACATACGCATTCTATAAACCTAGATTCGGATAACCCCAACTCGAATGGTGAGGTCCTCAGTGCATTTCTATCTTTTAACAGGAATGGGGGGTTATTGATATGTGCACTCAACCCGTAGAGTTCATTGAAAGCTGTTCTTCTGGTGTTTATGATGGTTCAACAAGCTCCAAATCAGATTCATCCTCCAGCTATAGTCATGTTGGCAGTGCATTTACGGACAAAGGTATATAGCTGAATAAAGTTGAAGGATATTTTGTTTGCTGGAAATGGGCTGCTGACTACATGATCAAATAATTTGGCTTGATAACATTCCTGTAGATACGCATGATGCGGTCAATTCTTATCGACAAATCCCACTGCCTTTGCTCAAAGAAGAAGGCGGACAGCCTCAGGGATCGAAAGTAGATCATCAAGCTCAGTTTGAGTCCCTGCCAACCGCGAAGCCCAAGCCGAGTTCCCAGAGGCACACAGGTGAGTTTGGAGGCCACTCGAACTAACTTGGAATTGTTACTGCTAGCGCTATTTGACTGATACGTCTGCTTTGGCTTGCACTCATTCAGCATCTGACTCTGCGCCTGTGACTTGGGAATCAAGCACGCAATTGATGAAAGGTCATCTACCACAAGCGCAGGTGTCTGTGAATACGCAAAGGCCTGATGATCTCAAGAAAGCCTTTTTCCTACAGAGAGCTCAACCTATGAATCGCAAACGCAAGATGCCCGTCCAAGTCTACACGGACAACGACAAACTGCTGGAGGATCTTATCATATATTCCCAAAATTTAATTCAATCCCAGAGCACCAAAGATAGAGATGCACTCCGAGTTGTCCAAGATCAGATCGACGCGAAACAAGATGAAATAGCACAATTACAAGCGCGCTCACTCAGCAAGGCATCGAGAGTGAAATTGGGAAGGCTTTTAGTGCAGAAGCCCGACTTGGAATTTTCCGAGAGAGAGATCTATATCTTTCAAGAAAGTCCTGATAGTCAAAGTGTTACAATCAGACTGTTAGCGCATAACGAAAAAAAGGGACCAAAGCATAGGGCAAAAAAGCTGGTGACCAGAATCAACTATATTGCACAGTACCTGGATGGTTTTGATCACTTATTTTCTCTGCTTGGACTGGATGAACGTCAGCGGCCGGGAAGCGGAAGCGAGCCGGCCGGTGAACGGGAGGTTCTCAAATGGTTCTACGAGTTGATTTTCGTTGATACTCAAGATCATCCGCCTCTTATGGGCCCGGCTAAACTTTCGTTGCCACTATCGGAAGAACAACAGAAAAAATACAGCCCAGCTCAGATGATTCTCCGCAAAGCATTCACCCAGGAATCCGAATTAACCAGCGCTCAAGCGGCTGCTGTCGCCTTGAAGTTGCGCATGGAATTCGACCAACCACAATCCCCAATGTCCCTTGACAAACTGGTTTCAAATGCATCAAGCCTAGTCTCAAATATACATCCAGTTAAAAGTTTTCAAAAGGAACCAGTCCCTTGAACCAGTAACATACATGACCAGTTTTGCTTTGTTTTGCATTACATAATTTATCACGTTTAATCTTGTGTCCATTTTTTTCTAATATTGATGTCCACTAAGACACCTAAGATATCAGTTGTCAGGTCAAATGAATCATTTATGCATAGCATAATTATATCTCACTTATTTTTTCCTTCATGAGGATGGCCTTCCAGATTTTAATTTTTTTTTCTTACAATCATTCATCGCGGATGATCCTCAGAATCAAAGCTTGAAATCTGTGCCAACAGTGAGCCAAGGATTGTATACACTGTAGCTGGATTCTCAACAATCGACATGTATAGTATGTAGATAGTGATTATGAATCTGGTTTACATCTGAGTCTAAAAGACTAGGACAGTTCAGGGACTCCATATTGCATCATCGAAGCTTGCAAACTTTTCAGAAGGCAGTCCTTTGCTGACACTCATATTCATTTTGTGTGCCGACATCGCTTGAACCAGGCCGAGGATTTTTTTGGAGATGTTAGCCGCCGGCCGGCCTCGTTGATGGCTCACCGACGTTGATCGGAATGCGGTTTTGTCATCGCATTATAACTCTCAGACTCTAACGGACAATCTGTATAGTCTGGACCATTGCTCTGACCATATTATCCTCAATCTTTTGATCCAAAGCTTTACCGGCAGAGTGATTGCTGCAGCGAGCTCGTCTTTTTTACAGCCAAGTCAACAGCAACACCTTCTGACCTCATGATAGCCTCGTTTCCTTGATGAAATCTGTGAGAGCGATTTCCGGAGGATGAAGACACGGTGTATTATTCTTTATAACCGAATATTGAAAGCTATGGTTGCTGTTGATAGACATATAAGGAGGGTAGGTTAAACTTGTGGCAAGTTTTCCTACGGGCAACATTTATCTATTGATCTGAACGAAGATATAATTCCCAAAAGAAATCCGTTTAATACTTTGCACCAAGATGACACGAATCCGACTAACCTTCTTGGGCTTGGTTCTTTGCTACTCAAATGTAGTGATCACTATGGCTGGTGAAGGGATGACATCATTAAGTCATCCTCCGGCTCACGACATGGATCAGTGGATGTCCGACCACCTTGATGATATCACTGATTGTAACTTATTAGTCCCTTCAAACAAGCCACGTCTTTCGGATGAACATACGCATTCTATAAACCTGGATTCGGATAACCCTAACTCGAATGGTGAGGTCCACGGTACAATTTGTATCTCTTAGCAGGAGTGAGGGGGTTATTGATGGGTGCACTCAATCTGTAGAATTCATTGAAGGCTATTCGTCTGACCTTTTTCATAGTCCAGAAAGCCCCAGATCAGATTCATCCTCCAGCTACAGTGTTGGCAGTGAATTTAGGGACAAAGGTTTATTTCTACTCAGTCAAATTGCAAGCTGATATATTATTTGCTGGAAATGAGCTGCTGACGAGCTGATCAACTTATAATTCGAATTTTTAGACATGCATGAAGCGGTCAATTCCTACCAACCCTCAGTGGCGATGGTCAAAGAGGGTGGCCAGGCTCAAGAATTGAAAGTAGCTGACCAACAAGCTGATCAGCACGAATCCCTGTCATCCGTGAAGTCCAAGCCACGTTCTCAGAGGCAGACAGGTGAGCTTGAAAAATTAACTTGGAAAAGGTTAAGCTGTTATACTTTAGCGATATTTGTAAAACTGATCATACATACAACCGATATGGCTCGCAATCATTGATCAGGGTCGGACTCTGCGCCTGCGACTTGGGGATCAAGAGGGCAATTAATGGAAGGTCCTCTACCTGATCAAGGGCAGGAGCTGGAAAGCCCTGACAATCTTAAAAACGACGTCGTTCTCCTACAGAAGGCTCAACGTGCTACTCGAAAACGGAAAACGCCCGTCCAAGCATCCACTGGGGTTCCTTACAGCGCCATGGACGACGGCAAACTAACAGACAAACTTGTGATATATGCCAGAAAATTGAGTGAATCACAGAGTGCCGAAGATAGAGAAGCATTCCGAATCGTTCAAGCTCAGATTGCCGCGGAAAGAGAGAAACTGATAGAATTACAAAGGCTTCAAGTCACCGACGCATCAAGAGAACAATTGGACAACAAGATTGTGCAGGAACCGGATTCGGAATTGACGGAGAGACAGATCTTCATTTTTCGCAACCCTCCCCCTGATAGTGACAGCGTCTCGATCAGACTGTTAAGGGATAACAGAACCAAAGGAGCAATCTATGTGGGAGAAAGGCTGGTGACCAGAGTTGATAAAGTTGCCCAGTTTTTGGATATTTTTGATCACCTGTTTTCTCGGCTTGCACTCAATAATAATGAACGGGGCATCAGGCCGGCCCAAGCTGGAGATCACCGGGAGGTTCTCGATCGGTTCTACAACCTGATCTTCACCGAGACCATGGAGCATCCACCTCTCATGGGATCGGCTAAACGTTCCTCATTAGCGGGAGAACAGCCCAAGAAATTCAGTCCAGCACAGATGTCCCTGTACAAAGTGTTGACCCAGAGACCCGAATTGACTAACGCTCAAGCGGCTGCTGTCGCCCTGAAGTTCCGCCAGGAATTCGACAAACCGATGTCCCCTATTGGTGCAATGCCGCTTCATGAACTGGTTGCAAAAGCATCAAGCCTGGATCCAAGTCTAGAGCCAGTCAAAAAAGTTAAAAAAAAGGAACCTGTCTCGTGAAACTAGTGTGCCCATCTTATTTTGCACTCCGTATAAGTAACTTGTTAGTTTTTTTAAGCTTCCGTTTCTTTCATTTTTTTCTAAAAAAGAAAATCCATTCCTCCAAGGCACACTTTAGGAAAATGGACTTTAACATATGCGTAGAGCAGATGTTTCACCTTGATAATAGTTGTTCACTTTCGTTTCCACATGATATAATTCTTGATTATTATTATTTTTTTCTCATAATTAGCAGTCATGGTTGGAGTGAAGTCCTAATAAGAATGAAGCCATCCGAGCCAGTGGAGCGGCTGAGGTGATTGTCTGAGTTGTGTGCTGGATGCTGAGTGAAGGGCAAGGCAAGAGAAGATGGTTGAGTGGGCTTATAATGTGGTTGATTTAGGTTTTTGAGTCTAGACTCCACTCGAGCTGAATAGTCTCGAACCATCCACTCAGACAAGCTGGTCTCCCTCCAACCAGAAACCAGAACATCACATCCATCGTTCCCGATGGAGGACCATCCCCAGCAGCAAGCCAGCGTGACGGTGGACATCGAGGCGATCGAGAACCAGAAGGAGAACATCCAGCCGATCAAGTCAGGCCGATCGGCTGCCCAGCTAGTCTCACTCTTCAACCCCAAAGCAACCTCGTCTTCTGCTGCTTCAGCACTCGCTCATTCGGCCTCGAACGCTCACAACCCAATCAACCTCATCGAAACCCGCAAACGATCTCATGAGAAATTTCAGCATCATATCCGTCTCCTCGAGGATGCTTTGGAATCAAAACCAATCTCAAATCCTCACGATAAATCTCTGGCAGAAGAGTTGATGAAAGACCCCTTAGATATCTATCTCCAGTAAGAGTATTTTTACATGTTTTTGGTTGGCAAGAGAAAAAAATTACGGATCTTAAAAGACCGGGGGTTTTTCTTTGTTTTCAATTTTTCAGGTACATTCGTTGGACGATCGAGGCTTATCCAGCCGGAGGAACGAGTGGCGAATCTAAACTGATCCCCCTATTAGAGCAAGTGACGCGGAAATTCATGAAGGATGAGAGATATCAACAAGACATCAGATACTTGAAGTGCTGGATATTCTATGCGAATCAAGTCAACACCACCACCACCACCAGCGACCAAAAGGGCTTATCATCAACCATCGTCCCCAACAATACCTCGTCGAAATTGGTGTTGAATTATGTGATTCATCATCGGATCGGGACCCGATTCGGCCTGCTCTATCTGGAATACTTCAAGCTCTTCATGCCGCTTCAGAGATTGGAATCCAACGAAACCGACCGGTTCAAGCTGGAACAAGTCCTGAAATTCGGGATCTCTCAGACGGTGGAGGATGAGCTGAACCATCACCAACTGGTCGAGCGACTCCACCAAATCCAGTCAATCGTCAAGAAGAAGGCCGATCATTCAAAGTGCAACCCAGAAGAAGAGGGCTCGAAAAGGCCCACGAAAGCAGGGCCCAAGATGAGCAACACCAACAAGGCCAAGACGAAGATGAAGATCTTTGAAGACCAGGAGGGTCATGCGGGTGCGAGTTGCGATCGCGTGGACCCACATGATCAGGGAGCAGGCCTCGGCGAAGCCCTGCCCGAGCCCCCGTTCTCGTTGGTCTCCAAGTGGGATAACCTCGGCACCGTCCATTCCAATCGCAAACAGAACACCCTCAATCCGTCCTCCTGGAAAGGCCAGAAACTGCCCATGAAGATCGCCAAACCTTCAGCTGCTATCTCTCACCACTCCCCTCTCATCGTCACTAACCTCGATCAACCCCCGGCTTCTTCAACTAGGTCTAAGATTAAAGTCTATGAGGATCACTTTTCAGTTCGTATTTCCACTTCTAAAGAAAAATTCATGTCGAGACTGGTTTTATTGAGATATTTTCCTTTTTCTCCATTTTTTTTAGGATGATGACTCAATATCTCCGAAGCAAGATAAGATATCAGTGGAAGAACCTGAGGTACCAAGTAGCAGCTCGACGACTTATACCGATCAAGGTCCCCAGCAGAGTGGGGAGGAGGAGGCGATGATCAATCCGCATCTGCTGGACGACCTGTTGACCTCGGAGATCGAAAGCCAAGCGCATGCTATCCATAACCAAGTTTCGATCGATCATCGTGACCAATGCCAAGTCTTGAACTTCGACCCGCTCCGATTCCTTTCCTGAAAATAACTCTTGTTTTTTTTTTCTTGGTTCTAATATTGGGGATGTATATTTTTTTTTAAAAAAAAAAGAGGGGGGTGGGTGGTTGGTATATATGATGAATGGTGATGGGGTAGGTTTACACGAATAATGCCTCTTTGTATTTTTTGGGGGTTTTCTATATACAATTGTATTATTTTTGTTCTATTTCCTTTTTTGTTGTAAATTGGGGATTACACCAAGAAGCGATCCTGATGATGAGAAAAAAAAAGTGAGAGGACGTCTGAAAGGTGGAATAGATATGATCCTATAGAATATGCATAAACAGCTTAAAGAAAAGGTGTGATTGAGAAACTTGACTAATCGCAATGACCGTCATCCCAGCCATCTCTCCAGCGTTTAGAAACTTGGCTACAATCGAAGAGCTCTTTGCCCAAGCGTTGATTGACGTCATTATGGGCCTCACAGAGCCAACGTTCGAGCTTGGAGCGATTATCGATTTGAGGCGGGAAGCGGGAGAGATAGTCCTGGAGATGAGAGGCGCAAGGTTGGCAGGGATAGATGGTAGCAAGGGAGGTGATGAGTTGGCGGACGGAGTCTTGCTGGGTCTTGCTCGGCCGCTCGACGGGATAGTAGGCCCCGATGGTGTGCAGTAAGGTCCAGGTGTGTCGGCCTAAACGACTTGAATCCGCCGGACAGTCCGCCCGCTCCTCCACTATCGTCCGCCCCGTCCTGTCGTCTCCTCCCTCGGCCACAACTTCGCTAACTCGTTTCCCATCGTCTTGCTTGTTGACCTCGCGCTTGGCTTGCTTCGTCCACGCCTGAAACCCGCTACACACTTTACATGGCTTCCCATCCGGCCCGATAATCATGCCGGGGTTCACTTCTCCTGCATTTCGAGTCAAGCAAATCCAATTGATTTAAGAAAACCCTTCTGAAAATGGGGGCGTGTCAAAAAAATAACTCACGGTTTTTACCGTTTTTGTTTGATGTTGATGATGGTAGTTCCGCTGAAGAAGAAGAAGAGTCCAAGGGCGTGGAGGAAGATGGATCCATGGTCATTCTTTCGGTTGGGAATCAGTTGAAGATGTTTCTCATCGGCTCTTCGCCGAACTGGTGTCTGTATGCGCTCGGGCCCTCCCCGGAGCCCCCCCGAAAGGAATACAATACCCCCGTTTCGCGACAAGACGTCGGCCCCTGCCAGGGTCACCGAACGCTTGAAGGTGTGGAACAAGCAGCTGTTTTGAAAAATGTATGTAGTTGAATGTACAGATCAGTACAGATCAGGTTAAGAAGAGATACCAAGAATGATCTGGAACATTTAACTGTCAATCCAAGATTGCTTGTATTCATTGCCTTGCATCCACAAACATTTGTGTCAAGCTGGTCTGCAAGACTCCTATGATTCGAACTTGTGTCAAATGGTTGAACAGTTGAACTGAATCCTTCTAGAATTAGATCTCTTGTAACATTGTAACAATTATAAAATGATTATATAGGAAGGAAGAGAGTCAAGATTTTGAGGCAGATGTGTAAAATTAATGAGAAAATTCAAAACAAGATACCACCATATTAATCTACTTCTTTTTCTCTTCTCCACTATCATTCTCACAAATAAAAAAAAATGATCTCATCTGAATACAGGAATAAGGAAAAGGAAAATGTAACTACAGAACAAGATACTAAAATAAAAAAATGTTTAAAACAGTCCAAAAGGAGTACTCTCAATGAAGAAAATAAATAAATAAATAAAAAACAACATTTGATGTTTCCAAAACAGGAACAAGGAAGGGGGGGATGGATGGAAAACAAGGAGAGAAAGGCTTAAAATGTAGGTACCTGTATTCAAGCAAAGAAAAGAAAAGTAGACATCTGATTAATTGTTGAAATAGATAACTAAAAACAGTTTATCGAATTTGATCAGGGAGACAATACTGACGTAATCATGGATTCGGCCTCTTGCATTTTGAGCTATGCATTCAGCAATCCAGGTTATGCTTCTGATTTCTTGTTCTTTTAACTGTAATACAAGATAATATGATGTTTCAGAGTTCCTGCAGATTTTTACAATGGAAATAAAGGATAAATGGTCAAGCTAGACCAACCTTAAAAAATGCGTAAAAGACGCCGAATTGAAATTGTTGCAAGAAAGCAAGTTTGTTGAGATGAACTTCTTGTTGAAAGAAGTGATCCTCCAAGTCCCCAACGACGTCATCAGCATTTCGGCCTGTTGCGCCCGATTTGGGCTCGAAGAAGGCGCGGTATTCAGGCACGTTCTCTGTGACGATCTTGACTGCCTCAACCTCCTCGGCACGAGCCAGAAGGAAATTACCCTCAGGATAGAGCTTGCCAAGTCTAGGAAACAGTTTGAATCGCTGTTCCTTGGATAGACTTGTGCCGAACGAATTGATGGTGATGTTGATCGTTCGACGGTCGGCTTCAAATCCCAAGATCGCGTTCATCACGCTCGATGTCGGCTCCCCAAGCGTCTGACAGAACTTGTGGAAATCCTCTAGATAGGCTCGGTATAGTGTATTCCGAATGATTTCGATGTTCAGATCATCCAGATCGTGCGCTGTCAAGCAGTCTCTGAAGTAGGGTGCTAGGAAAATAGTTAACAAGCACTGAATATTAGCCACCCTGGGACAGAACCAGTAGAATCTTCAAAGCTCAAGCTCACCTAGTGGTGTTTCGACCATCACCGAGTTGTAAAGCTCCTCGACATTCGTCGCCACACATAGTGCAGGCATCGTGTCGAATACACCAAGCGGATGACATCTCTCCAGTAATTCGTGGGTGTCTCTTTCGTGTAAGGTACCAGTGATCAATAGAATGACCTAGTTTTTTTTTGTAATTGACAAAAATGAAAAATAAAAAGTAAAAAGAGCTTTAGCAATCCATTCAGATTGGTTTCTTGTTTTGATTTAAAATTCAGAGTGTGGGCTTACATTATCGATCATGTATGCATACCTTGATTGAGTCAACAGCAGCGGTAGCAAAAAAAAGCAAACTCCGGTCAGTTAGATTTCCCAATTTGATAAATCGATGTATCGATATATTGCAAAGTGATCTTGGGAGATGACCCACGTCATATAATCTAAGAAAGTAGATAAAGGTTCGACGGCATTTGAACGGATGTAATCGAACTCAGCGACCAGTTTAGCGGTGGCCTTTTCGGAGATCGTTGAGGTTGAGATCGGGGGTGTTTCGTTCGCAAGGAAATTGCCGTAATCGGTAGCAGCTATAACAAGACATGCCCAAAGTGATTATTAAAAAAAAAGCGTTAGCGAAATGATGACTAGGTGTTGTTCTCAAGGTGAATATTCAAGAGGGTCAAGAGATTCATACATAGCTGCATCTTGAAGTCATCTAACGTATCGCATTGTGTCAAGTTTTGATACTGGGTTTGCGTGAGCAAACCAGCTTTGAATCCACGAATGACGCCTTCTAAGAAGCCTATGTGTTTTCAAGAAATCGGCTCAGGTTGTCAGGTAATAGTACTTTCGGCAGTTTCAAGGAGACCAATAAGACTGACCAGAGTGAGAGTTGAAGAAAAGTGCTTCCATTGTTGACGTTTGTGTTTGTGTTGATGCTTGCTTGCTTGTTTTTTCTCTGTGGTCAGCTTCAGCCTGGCGGTGATCAGTGAAGCTTGTGGTGGTGCAGTTGCTTGCTGTGTGGAGTGTAATGCGGGTTCAAGTCCCCGAGGTCCCCGATATGTCGGTCAGCTCGGGGACAATGTTTCCAATCAGCAACAATCCCAATGGCCCTGCGAGCTTCTAATTATAACCACATCATGAATCTATTTTGAAAAAATGGACTGCTCTCAAGTCTTCACCCATGCTCAATCCCATGGCCCCCCTCTGCTTACTGGGAAAGTGCCCTATGGATCACAACCAACCAATTGATCATTGAAAATAGTTAGTTGAATCAACGATGTAACAGATCCGATCCCCGGATCGGTATTTATCGGGGATCAGATCGAAATGTCCCCCAATACCGTGTATCGGGATCGGATCGTTTTTCCGATCCAATCCCGATTTATCAGATGATTGGGATCAGCTGGGGCGATCCGATACGAGCCGCGTGGGAACTTGGTATCGGTATCGCCCAAGCCGATCCAATATTTTCCCGATCCTGTATTGTGGCCCACCCACATTATTTGGGTCGGTCTTCAATTCCGCCGGTATACTGCTAATACCCCACCCCACCCCCTCCAGTCCGACTCCCCCATCACTACCCCCCCCCCCCATCGATTGTCCTCACCTCGGCTCGAATCTGACGACCCCCCCCCCTCGTCGCTTCACCCATCAATTGTCGGGTCGGACTCGGACTCGAAAAAAATCCCTTGAAGAAAAAAAAGTTGTATATTTCTTTACATTAAGTATGAAAATTATAAATACTGATAGCGATGAAAAAAAAAAACTCAGGCTCTCCATTTTTAGCTTCAAAAATTTACATTCCAATTTTTATTTTCATAAAAGTTAAAAATTAAAAAAAAAAAATCATGTATATATATAAATGCCCAAACTTTTTCTCTTTACCCGAGAAAAAATGCCTTTTAAAATGATCCCACAGATA